CCCCGACGGACCGACATACAGACCGACACCCCCCAACCAACTGACAGATGCTTCTTCTCCTGCTCTGGGGGTCCCGCCCCCAACCCCACTCCAACTGACAAACACCTCCCCCACGCTCTGGGGATGGACCGATAGACCCCTCACCACTGGGGGGCAAACACCACCCCCAGCCCTATCCCGGGGGATGGAGCGATACAGACTGACTCTGCCCCCCAGCCCGGGGATGGTGAGCAGACTGACAGACCAGATGCTTCTTCTCCTGCTCTGGGGGTCCCGCCCCCAACCCCACTCCAACTGACAAACACCTCCCCCACGCTCTGGGGATGGACCGATAGACCCCTCACCACTGGGGGGCAAACACCACCCCCAGCCCTATCCCGGGGGATGGAGCGATACAGACTGACTCTGCCCCCCAGCCCGGGGATGGTGAGCAGACTGACAGACCTCCCTGCCCTTCCACGGGGGATGGATCGACAGACTGACTCCCCACCCTTGGGCTTGGACAGACCAACAGACATCCTGCCCCACTGCTGGGGAGCTGACTGACAGACCAACTCCCTACAACTTGGGGGGAGGAGCTAACAAACTTACCACTCTCCCCCTTGCACAGCCTTGGGAGGCAGGCTGACTGACACGGCCCATGGGGTCTGGTCTGATAGTCTCTAGGGCACAGATACACCCACACACAAGGGATAAACAGACTGACACAGGGTGTGCAAGGGAGGTAGACTGACAAATAGGGGAGGATCAGTCTTTTTCCTGTTCATACCCTAGGTAATGTGGGGGAAACTCCCCAGCCTCACAGGGTGGGGGCCGAGTCCCCTACTCTAAGGCCTTGGCCTGTCTCACCTGAGAGCTTTTGAGTATAATTGCCTGCTTCTGAAATTGCCAGGCTAAGTCCCTCATGGTCTTGCTGTGCTCAGTATGAGGGTGCTGCCGTGGGCCATGTCTTCCTGGTCTTGGGGGACTCCAGCTACCTTGGTCTTTATTTCATAGCAGAGCCCCAAGGGACAGCAATTCACCTTCTTGCAAGGAGGGATTTGAGCCCTGGGAGTGCCAAAGCTGGCCTCCGCCTAGCACTAGTTGCCAGCGCTTGGAAGAAATCTCTGCAGACGGTAGGGATTGGTGGTGGCGGTTGGTCTTTGCCTGCTGCACCCAGGAGCTGTCGCTTGCAGAAAAGTTTGCATAGAGCAGGTTCCTGCCATGTGAGCATGTAATATGGGGAATGTCATTGTGACCTTTGGTAGGTCACTTGCCTCTGTTTCCCCATCTGCTGAATAGGGCCATTTTGCCTGGAGTTCGAGAGGTTTCTTTCGTGCCTGACACAGCTTATTTGTGTGGGTTAGAGAAGGGCAGAACCTTAATTGCTGGCGTGTGAGCTATTGCAGGCCCATAAGGACCTACAGGGAGCTCTTTAATGCCTCGTTTAAAAGACCTTGGTGAGCTTTCACCGAACAGCATGTCTCCGCGAGATTGAAAACGGGCCGCGTCACTGTGGAGTGAGCGGCACCAGCGCTGTGCTGCTCCTGTCAGATTGCATCTTTGCTCTCTGGGAAGCGTCTGAGGCAGGGAGTCTTGTCCCCCTTTGGTGCACCCTTGGGATGCTGCAGCAGGGCTTGAATGGGAGACGTTTGTTTAAAAAACCTTGTTTTTTCCAGGCCTCTCTTAGCCACGGTTGGCTGACTTGGGGGAGTGCAAGGTCTCCCCAGATTACCCCTGGAGGTACGCTGCAGGGTCCTTTCCCTCCACGGACACTGAACATCGGGGCATATAATCCAAGCTCTTACAGGCCCTTAACTGTAGCAGGGCAAGGCCATGCTGCATGGTGCATTAATAATCTGCTGTGGAAAATCCTGGCTTTGGTTCCGTAGGTCTCCCCCTCTTCCCTTCATAGCTTTAGCAGATGCTTTTCATTCTTGGTATTTTTCTTTGTGGCATAATTCTTTACCTGAGATGTATTGCACTTTTGGGGATCCCCCTGAGAGGCAGAACTGGCTGGCTGGCTTATCCCCACTTCCCCTGCAGCAGGATCTGTTGGCTGGTAGAACCCGAGTTAACATTTGGTGGAGTGGCTTCTCTTTCTGCCATTTTGCATTTTAAACTTTGATTTGAGCTGAGATGCTGTTCCCACAGCAGATGCGGTGTGCCAGCCCTTCACCGGAACACAGTAACTTCTTTTGTGTAAAATACTATTTGATTGTTACCTCGTTCTTCCAAATGACCCTCGTCCTACGTGCCTGTAGCATTCTGCCTGGCACACAGATTGTAACGGCATGCAGGAGGGAGCGTTGTCTGTCCAGCACTGGAATCCTGGTCTTTGGTGGGGGCTCCTAGTTGCAACTGGGAAGGCTCCTGAGAATTTTACCATTGTCCTGTCATCCTGCCCCCACCCCATGCCTGCCTCAAACAGGTGAGCTTCCTGGCTGCTGGCAAGGGTGGAACGTTGCTCCACCCTTCCCACAGAACCTCTGGGCTGCTGCAAGCTGGAGAGATCGTCACTACTCTTCCCGTTCTTTGCCCAGCCTCTTCTTTGAGCCATTCTCCCCCAGGAGCATCCCCAATGGTTTTAGCCTTCCCCGTTGGCAGGTGGTGGGGGCAGACCTAGATTCTAAGCCCAAAGTGATGACCCTGGTCAGTTTTGCAGACCAGCCTCTCTCCATAGCCAGCCTGGGCCGCCAGAGACAGAGGGTGCTTTGCGGCAGCCTCCTCTTCCCTGCAGCA